CCCCCCCCTCTCCCCCCGTCCCCGCGCCTTCCCTCCTAATCTCGCCTCCTCGTCAGGTAACAGTCGTACAAACAATGATTTTTTTAAGGAAAAACAAGAAGATAAACAAGAATTAATTAATGAATAATTCATGCTATTTGATCGGTGACGATCGTCTTTTCCCGAGTAGAACGCCCGGTGATTATAGCTCTGCTAGCCTGCTGGCTGCTGTATTTGGGTCGACTTTCAGCCTGGATACATCGATGGTATAACTGGGCGTTCTATTCGAATGAACAGGGTAGTGGTTATTGGGGCAGGAGCATGATTCTGAACAACAATATGATTTTATGTGCTCGATGTTTTTTTTTGGGGGGCGTGAGTGTATCATTGCGTGAAATTGGGAAACATACACTCACCATTTTCACATGTGGCAAGTAGATGCGCGGCTACGTCGACCGCATTCCTCCTCCCGCTCTCCCACCCCTCCACACCCCTCTCCCCCCGCCTCCCTCTCCCGCGCGTCCTCGGTACTCCCACTCTTCGTGTCAATGCAAAATGAATGCACAGGCATCCACCGATACTCTGAATGTGGTCATATTGGGCGGCAAGATACACAGACTCAGGCAGGTAGGCAGTATATGCCGATGCATGTACTCCTGAGTAGAGAGCTACTGATCTTTTTTCTCTCTTTCTCTCTTTCTCTCGTTCTCTCTTTCTCTCTTTCTCTCTCTCTCTCTCTCTCTCTCTCTCTTTTTTTTTCCTGCGCCTGCTCATCTCTTCTCACTTTTCGCCAGACTGAAAACCTAAATTTACTACGAGAGAGAGAGAAAAAAAAGAGAGAGAGAGAGAGAGAGGTGTGTGTGAGAGAGAGAGAGAGAGAGAGAGAGAGAGAGAGAGAGAGAGAGAGAGAGAGAGATAGAGAGAGAGAGAAGACTGGAGGGCGCTCACACTGGCTACGAATGAAGATGGATGATACACCATCATACATAAAAAAAAAAAAAAAAAAAAACGTTTCATTGCGCGCACACCTAGGGAGCGAGCAATTAGCGGCCACAAATTCAGCGCGGTCATCCCTCTTATCGCGTTTCATCCACCAATCACCAACCCTATCATCATCACCAACCACCAACCCTACCTATCACACGACCAACCATCACCGATTAACCCGCCTACCTATCAAGACCACTCATCACCGATCACCGATCAATGTTCAATCCTATCCCGACCTACCATCATCAATCAACCAACCCTATCACTATCAAACACCCACCCTCTCACCCACCACCGAACACCGACCACCCCTATCATCTCCAACCATCACCATCGCCATCGCCATCGCCATCACCATCACCATCGCCATCGCCATCACCATCACCAACTACCGACATCACAGTCCAAACTAGTTTTTATTTTTGCAATATTCTTTTTATGTCTTTAGGCAACTTTTTTTTTTTTTTTTTTTTGTTGGTTTACCGACGACTTTTACATTTTCTACTCCCACATTGATATATATATATTTTTTTGAATTCATCTCCACTTCTGCCCTTTTTTTCTTCCAGTTCATCTTTGAAACAAACGACTTTTTTTTTTTTTTTTTTTTTCCGGCCTTGTTGCAACCACCACCACCATGTATGTCATCCCACTAACCCTACCATTAAAAAAAAAAAAACCATCAATGCCCAACCCTATTATTGTCTATAATGATATAATCCCATAATAGTATTTTCTCCCCCCTTCTCTTGTCTTGTGATTAATCCGGTTTTGCAACTGAATTGGGGGTCGGGCCGCTTTTCTGTTCACACCTACCACACTATCACCACCAAACACCAACCACCCTCCCTCTCAAGACCAAACACCAACCACCCTCCCTCTCACGACCAAAACGCCAACCCCCCTCTGAAACTTAAGCTAAGCTGGCTGATGCTGTCAGTATTTTCATCCGGGTTGAGTTGTGAGGTCCCCGGCCTCGTTGAAATAATTTTAATAATAGTGCTTGGTTTTGTTAAAAAAAAAAAAAACCCGCCAACCCTATTACCACGGAACACCAACCCTATATATATATATGATCTCTTATCTCCCCCTTCGCTTGTGAGTTATCTGGTTTTGCAGCTGAATTGGTGGGGACAGGCCGCTTTTCTGTTCACACCTACCACACTATCACCACCAAACACCAACCGTATATACATTGTCACATGAATATCAGAGCGCAAATGCGGAAAAAAAGAAAGAAAAAGAGGAAAAAATGAATTCAGTTTTTTTATCTTCTTCCTTATAACTCCCCTGTTCAGAACCTCTTGCGTACAAGGCCGCCCACGTGGATGTAGGTTGAGCGGCGGCTGCCCCCAACCCCGTGTGTCATATCGACCCACTTGCACACAGCCAAAAGGCAAAGAGGCAAAGAAAAGAGGAAGGGAACAGTCAAATAAAACAGACAGAACAGGGGGCAACAAACATAAACAGATCCCAGATGACAAGTCCCACATGCAAGCACCGCCCCCAACTTCACAACAGGCCAAACGACGGGACAAGAACAACCAGGATGTCAAAACATTCTTGTCTGCAAATAAATAAAAAAAAGTACCAAAAATAACCCATCCCGGATGACGATTCCCACATACAAGCACCGCCCCGCGCTCTCAAAAGGCCGATATATATAGATTAAAAAACGAATTATATTTTTTCTTGTTTTCTTCTCTTTTTTTTGCCTTTGCGCTCTGATATTCATGTGACGATATTTATAGGTTCTGAACAGGGGGAGTTGTGTAACGAGAAAGATCAAAAATGAATTCATTTTTTTGAAATTTTTTCTTGTTTCTGTTTTTCGCTTTGGCGCTCTGATATCATGGGACAATATATACATCTGGGATCTGTTTTGTTGCCCCCCCTGTTCTGTCTGTTTTATTTGGCTGTTCCCTTCCTCTTTTCTTTGACTCTTCGCCTTTTGGCTGTGTGCAAGTGGGTCGATATGACACACGGGGGTGGGGGCAGCCGCCGCCGCTGCTCAACCTACATCCACGTGGGCGGCCTTGTACGCAAGAGGTTCTGAACAGGGGGAGTTATAAGGAATAAGATAAAAAAAACTGAAATTCATTTTTTCCTCTTTCTTTCTTTTTTTTCGCATTTGCGCTCTGATATTCATGTGATGATATATATATATATATATTTTTCCTTTCCTCCAAAGACGAACCCTATTTCCACCAAAGACCAACCCTATCATCCCCAAACACCAAACCCTATCACCAAAAAAAAGTCTATCCCCAACCCTATCACGGACCCTATCAGCAGGCCCATCACCAAAACTTCATTAATTACCACCAATCACCAACGACCAACCCCATCACACACCGCCAACCACCAATCAACAAGTCTATCAGCCCCCCGACCTAAACCACTCAGCCACCAAGCCTATCTCCACCGTTCAATGCTCATTGAAGGATGGGCTTTTTTTTTTTTTTTTTCATCGAACGGTAGTCTTGATTTTTTTTTTTTTTTTTTTTTTTTTCTTGATCGTGCTAATCAGAACGGACGGTGGGAAAATTATTTGAAAGAAGATCTTAGCAGTTGGGACCCGGTTGCCTGATTTCGGGATCTCGAAGGCTCTTAAAGCTGATTGTGAGAAGGTTGAAATGAATGAATTAAATAAATCCAAATTGAGGATCGTCTTTTTGTTTTAAATCGATAAAGAAAATAAAAATAATTGAAGGATGGGCTTTTTTTTTTCCTTCATCGAACGGTAGTCTTGATTTATTACTATTTTTTTATTATTATTATTATTTATGATCGTGCTAATCAGAACGTTATGCTGCGAGGAGCCTCGGTGGTTCATTTCTTGTCGTTCGGATTTCCGTTTTTAATCCTTTTTTTATTCTCGTATTTTTCTGTTCCCCCCCCC